CCCTCCCCTTTAGATTTTTTTTTTAAGAATTATTTTTACTTTATTTATTTACTTATTTTTTAATTAGACCAGGGAGGGACAGAAAGAGAGAGGAAAAGTGAGAAAGCAAGCCACCAGATCTAGGACTCAATCCACGATTGACCATGTGGGAGTCTAGTACCCTTAACCACCACACCACCTGCTTGCCCCCTTTTAGATTTTTTGATAAAGATAATTGACATTTTTGGGGACCAGCAGGTGTGGTGGTTAAGGTAGTAGACACTCCCACATAGTCAACCATGGTTCAAGTCTCGGACCTGGTGGCTTGCTTTCTCACTTTCCCTTTCTTCTCTCCATGTGTCTCTCTCTGGTCAAATTGAAACAAATGAATGAGGGACCAGCAGTTGGCATAATGGCTATGTCGCTCGACTCCCATGTAGTCGACCACAGTTCGAGTTCTGGACCCGGTGTCTTAAACTCAATGCCAGGCACGTGTGCGTTCATGCCCAAGATCCCAAGAGGAGAACAGAGAAGAAGGGATTGTGGCATGGCCATCCCCCCAGAGGTGATTTCTTGTTTTCTGTCTCTCTGTCTTTCTGTCATTCTGGTGAGCACACGTGCCCTATAGCAAAAATCTCTTCCAAAAAATGAATGAATGAATGAATAAACGAATGAATAAATAAAATTAAGTCATTATAAAAAAGATAATTGACATTTTTTATTCTTATATAGATGCTATGTAAATGAAGAGTCAAGAAAATAAACACTTCTTTTTTTTTTCCATTTATTTCTTCAAAATAGAAATTGTGGAGTAGCCACTGGTAAACTCAGAATCAAAGTATTTATGATTTTTCTCACTGGGATTTCCCATAACCCATGGACTCAGGCCATCAGTGTTATAGTTACAGGTTACCAGGAAGAAACCAACCAGCCTAAGTCAAACATCCACCTTGGGCTGCAGTGGTGTGGTCTAGACATGGTCATCTAGTCCTACAACTTCAGCAGGGCTAGTAGAAGCCATTTCCTGAGTAGAGAGGTTGGGCAAATAGGTATGATATATTAGGGCCTTGTCAACTACAGAGGAAAAGGAAAATATCTTTTAATCTGATCCATTTATGGGTAGACCCTCTGATTGGGTCTTATTAAAGACTTCTACTCTGTGAAAAGACTTCAAGATATGTTTTGTGTTTGTTTCTTTAAATAGGATTATTTATTTAATTGTAGTTATTATTATTACTTTTTGGAGAGGTTTTTCCTATAGGGCGTGTGCGATCACCAGAAAGACAGAGAAAGACAGACAGAAAGGGAGAAATCACCCCCCCAGGGGGATGGCCACGCTGCAATCTCTTCTCCTCCATTCTCTTCTCGGGATCTTGGGCACGCATGCACATGCGCCTGGCGTGAGTTTAAGCCACCAAGTTCTGGGCCTTGAACCGTAGTTGTCTACATAGGAGTCCAGTGCAATAGCCATTACGCTAACTGCTGGTCCTTATTATTATTATTATTATTATTATTATTATTTTAATTTGCTATAGGGCACAAGTGTTCACCAGAGATAGAATGAGAGAAAGAGAAAGTGAAAAAGCAGGCCATCACATCTGGGACTCAAACTGTGGTCAGCCATGTGGGATTCCAACACCTTAACCACCACACCCTCTGCTGGCTGCCAAGATAGGTTTCGTAAACCTGGAACATTTTAAGACTGAGTCGAATTATTAGAACAGAAAGGATCATTTATTGAGCTAGTTTATCTCTGTCAGATGTCCTTTTTTTTTTTTTTTTTTTTTTTTTAAATTTTTGGCAGAGAGCACATACACTGGGTAGAGAGAGAGGGTAAGTGATAAAGCAGCTCCCAATCCATGTAAAGCAGTCATACTCAATTATTTATTTCTCCCTCTGTAGGCATTTTGGGCATGTATGTACATCTGGTTTGTTTTTCAAGTTGCCATGTCTGGAACTCAAAACTGTGCAGTAGGCCATGTGGGATCGAGCCACCTTAGCCACCATACTGCCAGCTGACCTGGTCAGATATTCTTTAAGGAAAATGATGTTTTGTTAATGGAGGTAAGAAATTTTTTGAAGATATATTTTATTTTTTTATTTATATTTTTATTTTTTAGTTGACCAGAGAGAAAGGGAAAGTGAGAAAGCAAGCCACCAGGTCCAGAACTCGAACTGTGGTCAGTCATGCAGGAGTCCAGCACCTCAACCACTATGCTACCTGTCAGCCCCAATGGAGCTAAGAATTTAAGAGAATTGCTATTAGCCATTTGGGGATTCAATCCTAGATTGTATACTTTTAGACTTCTTTGGTATTCTTTCTTTTTCTTTAAATAATTATTTTCTTCAACTTTATTTTTTAAAATTTGACCAGAGAGAGACAGAGAGAGAGAGAAATTGAGAAACCAAGCCACCAGGCCAAGGACTTGAGCTTTTATTAGCCATGTGGGAATATTCAGTGCCTTAACCACCATGCCACCTGCTGGTCCTGTGATTTTCTTTTTTCTTTAAAGAGATTTTTGCTATTAGGCACTTGTGCTCACCAGAGAGAGAGAGGGACAGAAATCAAGAAATCATCCCCCAAGGGGGATGGTCATGCCACAGTCCCTTCTCTTCTATTCTCCTCTCAGGATTTTGAGCATGCACACACAAGCGCTGGTGTGAATTTAAGCTGCCGGGTCCGGGTCTCAAACCATAGTCAACTATGTGAGAGTATAGCAATGCACTCATTATGCCATCTACTGGTCCCAGATTTCTTTGATTTTTTTTGATCTTGCTGCTTGAGCAATATGCCTTTGACCTCCTCTCCTTACTCTATAGAGTAAGGCTTCCATCTTTTTTTTTTTAACCTTGAAACCCCACAGCCATTGTTTATTATAAAGATGAATCCCAATCCTTACAATGGACTTTTCAATAGGACTTCTGGTAGCAAGCACAGGCACCAGGCCTCCAGACTTTGGATTTGCAGTGATGGGGGTCAGCTACAAGCACAGTCTGGTTATACTGGAGGAGGATGCCTTTGATCTTCTTGGAAGCCTCATCTTCATATATTTGGTAACAGGCCGTCAGGGCTTTGGAGATGGACTGACGGATAGCATAAATCTGGGCCACATGGCCATCAGCCTGTACATGGACACAGATGTCCACACTAGCAAACAGCTCCTTACCCAGAAGCAGAACACATTCCAGCAGCTTATATTGCAGTGTATACAGCTCAATCATTTCCAGGGGCCACCTGTTCATCTTGAGGAGGCCATTGCCCCACTTGCAGTGCACCACAGCTGTCTTGCGTCCAAAGACTTCCACAGACTGAAACGGGTCCTTGGATGGCATGGCTGCGAGTATAGAAAAGAAATCCAAAACTTCCTTCATTTTGCCTAGTGTTATTGGTGCTCATCAGTATAATTTTTTTAAGTTTTAAGAATTTATGTATTTAATTATATTTGTTATAATAGCATTATTTTTTAATTTGACCATAGAAAGAAAGAGAAAGGGAATGTGAGAAAGCAGGTGGGAGTCCAGCACCTTTACCACCATGCCACCTGCTGACTCAGTGCTCATCAATGCTGATTGCATTGAATAGATGAAGCTCATGTGTTTGTGTGGCTCTCTGTTAAAAAGTTGTAGTAAAGTGTTCCTTAGAGACACATTTAAACCATCTGATAAAATGATGGTCTGTTTTGTTATTTGGGATACCCTGGGCCACAAGGGCCACAGGTTATTTTGAATTATCCATGTCTAAGCTAATTTGGGACCTCTGCGAGCAAAGAGGAACCTGGTGGTGGTGGTAGATTGTAGGCTGGCCTGTTTTCGGTCATCTTTGTGTAGTTAGAAATGACAGCCAACACACCATTTCCCACTTACAACAGTTCTTGTTTTTCCTTCTCTGGAAATGAATCTTTTTGTCAGACTTTTTAAAAAAATAGACTTTATTTTTAGAGTAGTTTTAGGTTTATAGAAAAATGAGCAGAAAGTACAGAGAGTTCCCATGTATTCCCTCCTCTCCTCCCACCCTTTTCCCCTAACATCTTTGCATTAGTGTGGTTACATTTGTTAACTTACTGTGCCAATAAGATACACTGTTAATAAAGTCGTATGTGTTACTTAACAAAGGGGATAGTAATGCTCATTAGGTGATTTTATTATTGTACAAACCTCATAGAGTGTATTCACACAAGCCTACACCATATAACTTACTGCATATCCAGGCTCTTTGGTGCAATCTATTATAATTTTATGAACCACTGTTTTTGGTTTTGTTTTAGAATTTTAAAATTATTTTTAGTCATCATTATTATTTAATTTGACCAGAGAAAGGGAGGGAAAGTCAGAAAACAAGTCTGGGACTTAAACCATGGTCAGCCATGTGGGAGACCACCATGCCATCTGCCTGTCCCAGAACCACTGTCTTATAGTCTGTCATTGGCTCTACGGTGCATGACTAGGGTTCACTCTGTGTAGTACATTTAATGGATCTTGATGATGTATGACATGATTCCGCCATTACTGTATTCAACAGAGACAGAGAGACAGAAAGCGAGAAATCTCCCCCCAGCGGGTATGGCCATGCCACAGTCTCTTTTCATCGATTCTCCTCTCGGGATCTTGGGCACGCAATCACATGTGCCCGTCATGAGTTTAAGCCACTGGGTCCAGGACTCAAACTGCGGTCGACTACATGGGATTCCAGTGATGTAGCCATTACGCCATCTGTTGGTCCTGCCATGATATGTTTGTTTGGGTTTATTTTGAGAGGTTTTTGCTAAAGGGCGTGTGCACTCACCAGAAAGACAGATAGAGACAGAGAGACAGAAAGCGAGAAATCACCCCCCAAGGGGATGGCCACACCACAATCTCTTCTCTTCCATTTTCCTCTCTAGATCTTGGCCATGCACGCACCCAGTGCCCACCATGATGTTTTTAATATCAAATTCACTCTCTGAAACATCTGATCCTGCCTGTGTATGTTTCATGTTTGTTATTATAGGAATATAATAGCTGTATTATTTCTTTATTCACAGATTATCTTGATAATGGTAATAATAAAATGGCAATCCAGCAAGCAGATAAACTGTTGAAGAAACATAAGGATCTTCATTGTGCTAAGGTAAGTTAATTTGCCCTTGAGTTCCTTGCATCTGATGGTTTTATCTGTTTTTTTTTTTTTTTTTCAGTGCTAAAGGGTAGTATACTTGCCAGGAGAGGAAAGCACCCTCAATGGGGAATGGTCGTCATACTGCAACCCATTCTCTCTCCTTGCTTTTGGAATTTGGCTCTCTCAACAACCAGGCCATGGAGCTAAAAGGTGTAATTCTTTACCTTGAAGAGAAAAGATTTTTTTAAAGGATTATTTATTTAATTTTATTAATCTTTATTATTTTAATCCACTACAGAGCATGCATGCTCATCAGAGAGAGACAGAGCAAGAGAGAGAAAATGAGAAAGCAAGTTGCCAGGTCCAAAACTCAAACTACAGTCAGCCATGTGGGTGGGGATCAAGTGTCCCGACTACTGTGCCACCTGCTAACCCCAAAGGGAAAAGATATTTCATTTCTTTAGTGACTGTGTTTATTTATTTATTTATTCATTCATTTATTTTAATTTGACCAGAGAGAGAGTCACAGAGAGAGAGGTTGGGGGGAGAAGTGAGAAAGCAAGCCACCAGGACTGGGACTCGAACCATGGTCTGCCATGTGGGAATGTCCAGCACTAATTACCATGCCACCTGCTGGTCCTAATGACTGTGTTTTTTTTCCCAGAGACTTTTTAGGCCATTTATTGTCTTGATTAGCACATGCTATAGATAGTATTTAATTAAAATCTAGCTGTTTATTTCTTTGGATATTAAGAACTTTAATTTTTTTCCCCAGAGTCCTTTTAAGCTATATTGTATACTTTTTTTAAAAGATTTTGCCATACGGTGGATGCACGAACCAGAGAGAGACACAGAAAGAGACGGTGAGAGGGAAAATGAGAAATCATTCCCTGAAGTATGATCACACCATAATCCCTTTTCCTCCTAGGACTTGGGGCATGCACACATTATTTGCTGGTGTGATTTTTTTTTTTTTTTTTTGTAGAAGTTTTTGCTATAGGGCGCATGTGCTCGCCAGACAGACAGATAGAGACAGAGAGACAGAAAGCGAGAAATCACCCCCCAGAGGAATGGCCACGCCACAATCCCTTCTCCTCCATTTTCCTCTTGGGATATTGGGCACGCATGCACACGTGCCCGGCGTGAGTTTCAAGCCACCGGGTCCGGGACGCGAACCACGGTCGAATAAATGGGAATCCAGCGACATAGCCATTACACTAACTGCTGGTCCCGGTATAATTTTTTTTTAAGCCACTAGGTCCAGAACTCGAACAGCGGTCTGCTATTTGGAAGTCCAATGCTTTAACCACTGTGTCAGCTGCTAGTCCCAATATTGTGCTCTCATAATATGGGCAAAATAAGAATCACGATTTACTTATACTTTTAGTAAAAATGGGTTTAGTTGATCAGCATGCTTCCACATTATTTTCTTTGATTCATATTTTCTTTTTTGTCCTCTTAAAAATTTGTTTTTGGGGACCAGTAGATGGTGTAATTGTTACCTTGTTGGACTCCCATGTAGTCAACTATGGTTCAAGTCCTGAACCTGGCAGTTTAAAACTTAAGCTGGGCGTATGTGTGTTTATGCTCAAAATCCCAAGAGGAGAATGGAGAAGGGATTGCGGTATGGCCATCTCCCCTGGACAAAGATTTCTCACTCTTTGTCTCTGTCTCTGTCTCTCTTGCAAGTGCATGCGCCCTATAGCAAAAATCTTTCTTGACCGGAGATTTAGAGTGTTAACTCCTCTGTGCCTACTGGCGTAATAAACAGTTCTCCCATGTGCATGGCCATCCCCCTGGGGGGTGATTTCTTGCTTTCTGTCTCTTTGTCTCTCTCTGTCTTTCTGGTGAGTGCACGTGCCCTGTAGCAAAAACCTCTCCAGAAATCAAAAACAAAAACAAATTAAAAAAAAAATGAATGAATGAATAAAAATTAAAACCAACTTAAAAACCAGTTCTCCTAATCTCTCTGAGTGCTGCTTTCCATTCCGCAGCTCTGGTTTTCTGCAACATGGTGATTTACTTCACTACATTGAGGTGAAATACAGGTACTCCAGGGCTGGAAATGGAAGGAGACTCAGACATGACTCCTTGCCTCCAAAGTCCTTTTACTGGGTCTTCTGATTCTTGTGCATCTGTGATGAAGGTGAAAGGTTTAAATGATCTAAACTGCCCTTAAACACCTATTTTGAAATTCCTGCATTGTGGTGTGTCTTGAAACTCAATTGTTTTCTGCTATCTAGACTATCTTGATGCCTCAGTAGAAACTTCTGATTAAGAAATAGTATCCTTGGGACCAGCAGTTCGAGTCCCGGACCCAGTGGCTTAAACTCACAATGGGTGTGTGTGCTTGCCCAAGAACCCGAGAAGAGAATGGAGGCGAAGGTATTGTGGTATGGCCATCCCTCCTGGGGGGATGATTTCTCACTTTCTGTCTCTCTGTCTCTCTCTGTCTCTCTGGTGAGCACACACACCCTCCAAGAAAGGAAGGAAGGAAGGAAGGAAGGAAGGAAGGAAGGAAGGAAGGAAGAAAAAAAGAAGATATGGTATCCTTACTGGTTACAAATAGTACGTTTTACTTTATTTAGTTTTAGTTTTCCTATAGGGCATGTGCACTTGCCAGAGAGAGTAAGAGAGAGAAAGTGGGAAATCACCCCTCGGAGGGATGGCCACATCATAAACTCTTTCCTTCCAATTTCCTTTCAGGATTTTAGGCATACATGCCAGCTTGCCTGGCGTGTTTTGTTTTTTTTTTTGGAGAGATTTTTTTTTCTGCTATAGGGTGCGTGTGCTCGCCAGACATACAGAGAGAGACATAGAGACAGAAAGCGAGAAATCACCCCCCAGGGGGGATGGTCATGCCACAATCCCTTCTCCTCTCGGGATCTTGGGCACACACGCACATGCGCCTGGTGTGAGTTTTAAGCCACCGGGTCCGGGACTCGAACCATAGTCAACTACATGGGAGTCCAGCGACAAAGCCATTACGCTAACTGCTGGTTCCCGCCTGGCGTGGCTTTCAAGCCTCTGGGTCCAAGAGTTGAACTGTGCTGTCAGCCATGTGGGATCCAGTGCTTAATCTCCATGCCCCTGGCTGGGCCACAAATAGTTTATTTAAAATAAATCATTGCATGTTTTGTCTTCATCACCTCCCAATTTGTAGTACTGGCTAATATAATAAGTGTATAACCAAGATATGCACATGTTTATAGTAAATTAATGTGCATGATTTCATCATGTTGCTTCTGTAGTTCCTTTTATTAAATCAATTCAACTTTTTTTTTTTTTTTTTTTTTTTGAGAGGAAATTTTGCTATAGGGCACATGTGCTCACTAGAGAGAAAGAGACAGAGAGAAAGTGAGAAATTAGCCCCCAGGGAATGGAAGACAAAGCCTTGAAAGTTTCCCTTTTTTCTCTCAATCCTTGTGCCCTTGTTCTTTCCTGGCCAGCCCTGTTGGGGTGCTGGGAGTGCCCAGAGAGGAGGGGACTGAAAATAAGGTGGAAAAACAGGAAAAAAAAATCCCTCTTAAAAAAAATTCTCATCTTTTTTTCCTACCAGGTTTTAAAGGCAATTGGTTTACAGAGAACTGGAAAGCAAGAAGAAGCTTTCACTTTGGCACAGGAAGTGGCAGCCCTGGAACCCACAGATGACAACTCATTACAGGCACTGACTATTCTTTACCGGGAGATGCATCGACGTATGTTTCTTTTTATGATTTTTATTTTTTAAAGAATTATTTTATTTTATTCATTATGATTATTATTATTATTTTTTAATTTGACCAGACACACACACACACCCACACACACACACACACACAGAAAGCTAAGCTAACTGCCGAGTCTGGGACTCAAACTGTGGTTGGATGTGTGAGTCCAATGTCCTAATCACCACACTACCTGGTGACCTTGTCTTTTTGTGAATTTTAAACCTGAGCTTAAGCTTTTGTATATATATATTTTAAGAATTATTCATTTAATTTTATCATTATTATCATTTTTCAATTTGAACAGAGAGAGAAAGAAAGTGAGAAACTAAGCTTATAGATCCAGGATCTGGCCACAGTTGGCCATGTGGGAGTCTCAACATCTTAACCACCATGCCTTGCGCTGGCCCCAAACTTGTATGTTTTTTATTGAGATCTCTGTTTGACTTTCTCTCATTTACAAAAAAATCACTCTTTTTTTTTTTTTTTTTTTTAATAATTTTTTTAAAGACTTATTTAGGGACCAGCAGTTGGCATAAAGACTATGTGGCTAAAATCCCATGTAATTAACTACGATTCGATTCCCAGACCTGGACCTGGTGGCTTAAACTCATACAGGGCACGAGTGTGTGCATGCCCAAGATCCTGAGAGAATGGAGGAAAAGGGATTGCAGTGTTGCCATCCCCTCCCAGGGAGTAATTTCTCGCTTTCTGTCTCTCTGTCTCTCTCTGTCTTTTTGGCAAACACACGCACCCTATAGCAAAATCCTGTCCCCCCCCCAAAAAAAAAGATTAATTTTATTTATGTATTTATTTCTTTATTTATTTTAATTTGACTAGAGAGAGACACAGAGAGAAAGTGAGAAAGCAAGCCACCAGGTCCAGGACTTGAACCATGGTCCACCATGTGGGAGTATCCAGCACCTTAACCACCACACCACCTGCTGGTCTCAACTCTCCCAGTGTTTTTTAAAAAAGCAGGTATTATTGGGACCAGCAGGTGGCATGGTTAAGGCAGCTAAACTCCCACATGGCTGACTGTGGTTCAAGTCCCAGATCTGGCAGCTTGCTTTCTTACTTTCGTTCTCTCTCTTGTCTCTCTTTGGTCAACTTCAAAGAAATAAGATAAAATAGTGACAGTGGGGTCCGGTAGGTGGTGTGGTGACTAAGGGTGCTGGACTCCTACATGGCCAACTGCAGTTTGAGTCTGGGACCTGGCATCTCTCTCTCTCTCTCTCTTTCTCTCTCTCTCTCTTTCTCTGGTCAAATTAAAATAAATAAGTAAAGTTAAATGAAATAATTCTTAAATAGAATAAATGACAATGGATAAAATTAAATTAAAATAATTCTTTAAAGAAATCATTATTTGTTCCACCAATATTGGTTGATTGTTTCTCAATGATAGATACTATATCAGAATCAAAAATAAAAGATTCTTTCTGCCTTCGTGTCCCTCATAGTTTATAGGGGGAATAGGTTAATAAATACTATGCATTAAATGCTCTAATAGATTTATAAAATTCCAAGGTGGCAGAATGAGGCAGTGATCACATCAAGGGGGCACACTAGAGATGCTATTCAGAGAAGGTCATATAGCCAGGATTCCATCTGAACTAGGTCTTAGATGATGATGAATAGAAAGAGGAAGGGAGATCCTGGCAGAGGGGATGGTGTAAAGGAGGGATGAAGCACAGGGAGTCCGGTAGAACTACAAGTAGTTTGATGTGGCTAGACTATGAAGTGGTGGGGGGAAGAGTTAGAAAGGAGGCAGCGGAGGCAGG